AGCCAAAGCTTATGGGCATTGATCCAGTCATGCCTGATCTGGTCTGAGTCAGCCCTGGGGGCCAACTGCCTCAAGGAAGGATGCAGGAGACCATTCACTATGTAGAGCTGCAAGATGTGGCCAGAAGGTGCAGAGAACACTTTGCCGGTGGCCTCAGCATGACCCATGTGCCCAGGCATGGAGTCTGAGGGGAATAGGACATCTTGAGTAGGCCACCCCCAGGACTCCATCCCTGCTGGAGGCTATATCCAGGGTGTGCTCATGTTGTCACCGAGTGTGTGTCACCTTACACTATCCTCTTACCTCGACTTTCCAAAGCACTGGGATTATAGGTGTAAACCTCCTTGCCTGGCTTCAATTTCATTTTTTTTTCCCGTATGGATATGTATTTATAGTACCATTGTTGAAAAGAGTGTACTTTTGCCATTTACTTGTGTTGGTACTTTCATTGAAAGTATTTATGGGCTGGACATGGTGGCTCATGCCTGTAATTGCAGCACTTTGAGGGGCGGAGGCAAGAGAATTGCCTGAGCCCATGGTTTCGAGACCAGCTTGGGCAACATGGCAAGACTTCCTCTTTACAGTGAATCAAAAAATTAGCTGGGCATGGTGGTACATGCCTGTAGTTCCAGCTACTTGGAAGGCTGAAGTGGAAGGATTGCCTGAGCCCAGCAGGTTGAGGCTGCGGTGTGACTGTGAGTGGGCCACTGCACCCTAGCCTGAGTTAGAGTGAAACTCCAACTCAAAAAAAAAAAAAAAAAAAAAAAGAATTTATGGACCTTTTCTATTCCCGTGACTGTTTGCATGCTTCCAGTGATTCTTACATGAAATAACTTCCTGATAGTTTTCATTAGGATAGGATTGGTGGAGAATGTCTCTTTTTTCTTAATCTGTTGATAGTACTTCATGAGTATTTACTTGATGAAGTAACCTGTCACTAGATCTTTTAGACAGTTGAGTTTTAACCAGACTTTGTGGTACTCTAGAAGCCACCAGAAACTACTTTAAAGAAGCCATCCTCAAGACAGTATATCATGGCTCTGTCATCCCTGTATCTGCCTTAGGAGAAATTTACCTGACTTGTGTTCGTTCTCCTATGGTGGTAGCAGTAACAAGAATGGAGGGATGAAAAAGAAGTAATGACTGGAGTTGCAGCATTTGGTGATTACATTGAATTGAAATTTGTTATAATGAACTGAGTGATTTGAGAATTGGTGATAATTGGTATGAAGTAGATCAATAAAGAGAAGCCCTAGAAAAAAATAGCCATCACTTGTGTGACCAAGAATCTCTGAATGTAAGGTCGAGGTGCCCTTCCTACACAGTGAGTCTGAAGGGTCTAGGGTTGTGCCACCCATTGGAAATACTCATGTACAAAACATTTGACATATAATAAGTATGAAATTACTAATAAAATATTTTACTTTTTTTGGTACTAAGTTTTGGAAATCTAGTGTGTACTTACACTTACAGTGCAACTCAGTTTGAACTAGCTTCATTTCAAGTGCCGTGGTAACCATATTGGGCAGTACAATTCTAGATACTTTGATATGATGGCCAGATGAAATCTTAATCAGCATTACTCAACCTTCTCGGTACATCAGGGCACCCTGACTCACACCTTTCACTTGGTAGAACTGACTTGAGGAGCTCTATGCCTGTCTGTTCAATGTGGCCCTGGCTGGAGGGATGGCAAGTGCTCATTTCCTTAGGCTGGAGGTTCTGAGAATTTGCTAAGCCATGTGAGCAGTTCAGCAAATGAGTGGAGAATAAGTGAGAAAGACATAACAAAGGTGCCTGAGCCTCTCAAGTGAGAGAAAATGGTCCATGAAAATTAGAATCTTATCCCTTCTGCAGGACAAGAGTCAGTCTACTATTCCTTTGAGGTAAAGCTGCACATAGAAAATACTACCAGTGCAGTGGTTCTCAATGGGCATGACTTTGTCTCCTCACCCCTCAGCCTCCCAGAACATTTGCTGATGTCCCAGAACATTTTTGAGGACCACAACTGGGTGGAGGTATGTGCTACTGACATAAGTGACTGGAGGCCAGGAATGTTGATAAGCACCCTACAATACACAAAACAGTCCCCATAACAAGGGACTATCCAACCCGTATCAATAATGCCGAGCACAGTAGCATAATAATACCCACCATCTCTTCTCCTTTCATTAGTTTCTACAGTGAATATGATGTGCTTTCTTTTAAATTCAGAGAATCTACCCTTTTTTAGAATATAAAGTTTCTAAATTAGGAAGAAACAGCCAAGTTGAAAAGTATTTCTGATTGAGCAAATTTTTCAGATAGATTCCGCCCCTGAAGAGTGGGTGGTGCTGCCTTTTGGGCATCAACTCGAACCTTCTCTTCCCTCTGGGAAAGTGGTAAAACTGTTGCAGTTCCTTCTGCCTCCTCCTCTTTGAAACTCTCTTTTGCCTGGGACCATTATACTTTCAGTAAGGGCACATATGTTAAAAAGAAATGAGCATTTGCAAGGCTGCCAGGAATATTCTTGCACTTCCATAAGGCCTGTTGGAAGTTTTGGATGGATTCTGGACATGGTGTGTGTCTGTGATTATTTCTTTTCAGTGCTTCATGGAGTGGTTAATTTGGAACGTTCCTGATATCTGTTACCCAGGGACTTGTAGCTCTGAGTCTTCATAAATTCTAGCAAGAAGAAATCAATACAAGTCATTTCAGCTTAAAATGTTCTTAGATGTCCTGCTTCAGGTAATCATACTTGCCAGTATTTGCCTTTGAGGTGACCTGTCCTATGTTATCTCCACCCCTTCCTCATGACTTTGGGTATTTCTGCTACCTTTTACTCCTCCCCCTTTCTTCCATTGTAGCAGTTTGGGTTTTTGTTGGCAAGACACACAGATTAGTGGTGGTATTGGGGACTTAGGGGTCCAGCTTAAAAGAAGGGCAGTGGTCAGGGCAGCCCCCCGGTCTTGTCTCTTTTTTTGTTTTTTGAGTTGGAGTCTCACTCTGTCGCCCAGACTGGAGTGCAGCGGCC